ATATATATGTATATATATAAACACATTTAAAAGTTGGTTCAAAATTTCTACATATCTAGCTTTCCAAGGTTGGTTTTGGTATTTTTCCTTGACAGAACACTGTTGTTTTGTTCTCATTGCCTTTCATGATTTATGAGCTTCTGTGGTATAGATTTAGTTTTTTCAGGGATTGAATTTCCAGCACCATAAAAAAAAAGAAAAACGATAAATATATCTCTAAGTGGGGCCGTTAAGTTGTGCAAGTGGAACCAGATCCAGGTCCGTCACGTCTAAAGTAGAACATTCAGACTGATAGTTGTTTGCTGAAGCAGGTTGACGGAAGATGCAAAATGTAGGGCGATGCTCTGTCGTAAGTGGCCGTAATAGCAACCATCTGTGAACTTGCTCTGTGTGTGTGTGTGTGTGTGTGTGTGTGTGTGTGTGTGTGTGTGTGCTCAGTCATATAAAATATAGCATACTAAGATTGCAGCAAGTTTTCCAGACTTTAGCCACTTGGCTTACACTGTAAAACACCATAAAAGGTTGAAAAGAAAACAAGTTAAAGAGTTTTTCTTTTTCTAGGCAAGTTTTTACAAGCCAAAACATGGATAACATCTTAAAAAATGTTGTTTTGTCTGTTATCTGTGCAAATCTTTGTTTGCGTTATTTGATCTTTTTTATTATTGTTATTGACAGTATGACTTCCGTTATTACTTCCCTGTAGCTTTGTGCTTCTTATCAACACTGAGTTGCACATCCGTCTGAATGCAGATGTAGACMAAACATCCACTTTTAAAGAAGATGGATGGTGTGCATGCATGTAGGCTTGTACATTACACACATGCMTGTAAGTAATGCTGGGAACCTGTGCTCCTTAAAATGGAGCAGATCCACTGCAAGTGTGCATTGGTTTTCAAGCCCATCCCACATATGATTCCCCATAACCCGTACCCTCACCGGTGGCCTGCGGGTCTGTAATAGGCAGTAATTGGTCCCAGATTGTTTTTGAGGTTTGTGTATTTGCTTGCAGCTCCTGGTTAACCGAGCCACTTGCTCAGAAACTTTGATTACAGGTCTGCTATTTGGAAAAATGGTTAAAAGAACCTCAGTTCTTTATRGAAGCCACCAGTTTCTATCAGCGTGTCTGGTCACCACATGGCTTCTGTTTGCATTAAAGAGCACTTGAAACCTTTTTTAATGGTTTAAAAACATTACAAATACAAGCATATTTGAAATGACTCCATCCTATCTCATTTCTTACACCAGCTAACCTGCTAAGCTGATTTGTCGTGTTGTTTTAACACATAAGCCTGAACTGTCAGTTTTTGTAATGCACACCACATGTCTATTTAGTTTTATTGCAGAATCCTCTGAATGGAAAAGGTGGTAAATGTTTTTAGCTCTATTTAAAGTGAATTGAGGATTCAAACTAGGCAATGAAGTTTGTTGGTTAGGTCAAAATGTTCTTGCTGACTTCAGTAACAATACAATTTCTGAAGTGTTTTCCTTATACTTATTGTCTTATAGTGGTGGGCACCAGCCAGCTAAAGCACACATCAGCTAATTGAGGACCTAAATATTTTGTTTGTGCTTTGGCGGTCTTCCTAATTTTTATAATTCATAAGTGGATTTGCGCTTTCTAAAATTAAAATGCAGTACTGCTAATAACTAATTATCTACAGTCATCATTATCTTGAACAGAGAGGAAGGTATGGCTGTCAACAACTCACAACACACGTGATCTATCCAACAGCACAACTCCCAGATAAACACACTTATTGGAAAGATATATGTCCTTGCTGACTGTTGCTCTCGATCGCGGTTCTCATTTCCCACGATGCTTTGTGTCTGCTTTCATAGCAGAAAGGCAATGTTTAGAACTCCCTGTCCCAGTAAAAATGTTTAACGTTTGTAATCCATACTAAAATTTTGTATGTATTGATTTATTTTACTTTACAATCGGAGCTCCTTTTTAAAAAAAGTTTAAACGTTGGAGCTCAATACTTGACATAATTGGTCGAAGCAATCAACCAATGGGGTTAGAGACGCAGAAATGATTTAAAGATATTTTGCTGATGAAGACAGACTTCTAGTGGTCAACTGGAGCAACAACATGGAAAACTTTAAAATCCAAGCTCTTATTTTGAAGTTTGCAGATTGTTTCCTGTACTCTGTGCTTTCGTTTCCCGTCACAAATCAAATCCGTCATGTACCCAGAATGCATCGCTTCAGTTTTCCAATAAACAGTTTTGAAATTACTTTATTGATGCTTCTTTAATGAAAAATCTACAACAAACAAAAGAAAAAGACAAAGAAGCAGCCGAACTAGCAATCCTCAACAACTTTTTAATTTTTACACCAGGAGCCAAAGTTCTGATTCAGGAAATCACATCCCCAGCAATCGGCAGTTGTAGGATTAAGCTGTAAAGCAGGGCTGTTCAACTAAATTGCTCTGGGGGCCACAGTTACTGCAGGTCAACAGCTGAGGGGCCGAACATCTATCAGTTAAAGTCATTATGTAAATAAACCAWGTATTACAAAGATCTGTTACCTTTGAAATAGTTTATTTTGCTGCATTTATTCATGAATACAACGTACAGAACCCTATAAAAGTAGTGATAATAAAACAAAAACAAAATTAACACATTATGCCGCCTATTTAACACAAATATTAATTTGACATYTCTGACTTGCCAACTTTTTGAACCAGTTTTATTTTCACTCTCATTGTTTTATCTTCCACTGCTTGTAGTTTTAACTGTCTTGAGTGTGCATAGAAATGTTTACCAGCTTCTAGTCAAGATTCTGTTGTTTCTGTAGATACCAAACATGTCTATGTTTAATTAAAAATCTTATCGTAATTAAAGTAGAAAACCGGGGGTTTTAGGCTTCAGAGATAAATGAACTAATTGGTGTGCCGAACTTTGGTCACTCCTGGGCCGGATGTGGCCCGCGGGCTGCCAATTGAATAGCCCTGCTGTAAAGTATTYATACACTGCTAGTTGGCAGTGTTGTGTGTATATTGTACATGAATTATTGCCAGCTAGTGAGTGTCAAATTGAACTTGCACTTTAAAATTAGCTTCTGCTAGTATTTCTATGGCATAAGCGCTTTTGAAGTTGTGGACCTAAATATTTTCATAAAYGCTTTAGAAACTGCGGAGCTAATTTTTGGATTAGTGCTGCCCACCACTGCTTATTTATAACTCTGTCCACTTCTTTTGTGCAATGCTTTTTTTTTTTTTTTCAAACGGTGCATGCATCCCATAACTCTGAAGGGCTACATTGTATAGACATATACTCCCACCCCTTTGCTCCACTCTGAAACTCCTCACCATCTGTTTGAATCAAATAATATAAGTCAGGAAGAGTTAGATCACAGCTGCTGGCTGACTTCCATAATGGAGATTTGATATAAGAAGGTAGATTTTCATTCAAGAGGACTCATAAAATGCAACTTTTCTTGGTGCATCTGGTTTATTATACTGTACATAAATCAACTTCCAGTCTAGATTTTAAAAAGCAAAACAAAGATTTCAAAGCTTGGTGAGGAAGAACAAGAAGGGCAAACGTTTTCTCCCATCTAGGAATGTAAATCTGTGCTGGAATCTCACAGAAACCTGCTAGGTTTTCGCACCCTCCCTGTGTTCTGATTAGGAAAACACAGCAGCACACGGACACTCACTCCCTGTTAAGATGAGTTGCATAAAACAACTGATTTGATATTTTGCATTCATCAGCCAGCTTACGATTAAATCTTCATACTGTATCATGGTTGATGTTTTTTTATAAGTGGAGCTGTTGTCCTCACGCTCGCCTCTGCACTCTTCCTCTCACAGGTGGTTATCATCCTGTTCAGGTGGTCATAACAGAAGCCGGAAGCCAACAAAACACCCATCCCATTCAGTGGAATTCCCCATCATCTACTCACATCACCCAGTACATCCTCAAATGGAGAGTGGTGAGTTTTCCGATTGTGCAAACTGTGGAGAAGAGCTCCAGCAAATTAGATTTTTTTTTTCAAATCGACTCATCCGATATTTATAAGCTAAAAATGCAAACTTTTCACACCCCACCTCAGAAAGATACATTAAACCCATGGATGGAGGTGAACATCCCAGGCCATCTTAACTCCTACACCATCTCTGGTCTGAAAGCGGGAATAACGTACGAAGGCCAGCTGATCAGCGTGCTGCGGTTTGGACGACAAGAGGTCGCACGCTTTCACTTCACCACAGCTTATGGATCATGTGAGTTGGTCTCAGTCCTGGTTGAGTTGTCCAAACTCAACACAGGTTCTTCAGTTTGTTTGATACAGTTAAGTTTTCTTTGCCGTTTTGTATTAAACTGAACCTGTTTTGCTAAATAACTGATAGTGAGTTTGAGGTCTGGAAAGATCTTTGAACTTTACACAACCCCATTGTGTCCTCTGTAGTGGCTACAACTGAAGGCGAGATCACCCCACTTCCACCTTTGGTTGACATCTCCGAATCAGTAACAGAAATCACAGCTAACAGCTTCGTCATCTCCTGGGTTTCCGCCTCCGACACCGTCTCTGGTTTCAGAGTAGAGTATGAGCTCATTGAGCAGGGACAGGGACCTGGAGAACCCATCGTTTTAGGTAAGTGCAGGAAAGCTCACGTGCAGTTTGGTTTTAGGAGTTGATGTCAGCAGTATCAAATGTTCAAGTATATTACCATTCTTTTTTTTCTCATTTTAGATTTGCCTCGTACAACAACCTCGGTGAACATTAATGAGCTTCTGCCTGGAAGGAAGTACACTGTTAACGTCTATGAGGTTACAGACGGAGAAGGGGACAACCTCATTCTCACWACTTCACAAACAACTGGTGAGTAGAACCATTTGTATTTCAAATATGTCGTTCCCTTTCAGGCATTTTATTTTTTGGTTTACTTACACCTCATTATTTCAACAGCACCTGATGCTCCCAAGGAGCATGAAGTAGAGGAGGTGGGAGATACCTCTATTGTGATCAGCTGGGACAAACCACTGGCTCCCATCACTGGTACATTAAAGCCATCTCTGTCAATCACAGCTGAAGTTGATTAAAATCTGATGTTTTTTTTGTTTTAAGGCCACATTTGACCTCTCTGTGCAGGATACCGTGTTGTCTACGCACCCTCAGAGGAGGGTGAAAGCATGGAGCTGACTCTCCCCGATACGGCAACGTCTGTGACTCTGAGCGACCTACTGCCTGGGAAGTCCTACAACATCAGCATCTATGCTGTGGAGGAGAACCTGGAAAGCGAACCGATCTTTGTACAAGTCAACACCACTGGAGAGTCCCTTCCAGGTACATGAGCAGCTTAGGCCACCAAACGCAATTTAAACATTAAACAGAGTGGGTGTAATTACTGACCATGTATGCTTAAAGTAATAAAACATTAAAAAATATAATTAATTCCATTCAAAATGTTATTTTATGTGTTTCTCTTTTTTATGTTTAGAGTTTTATCCTTGTTCTTTTTTTAGATAAATTCCATCACATATAACTGCAAATGGTTACTGAGTGAAATTTAAAGGGGCAATATCATGTAAAATCAACTTTTTTGAGTTTTATATCATGTTATAATGTTACCCTCTCATCAAAAACATGCCCGGAGTCTTGCTTTGACTCATTCATGCATGTTTGAGAAATCCTGTAGTGTCCTGAGGCTGCAGGCAGTGGAGCAAAAACGACCGGTTGGACCTAGAACCTCCTTTTGGGACTAGCTCCTCCTCTGGGCTGTGTCTTAAAGCCAAGCTTACTCATCACAGAGCACATGCACCCACCCGGCCCTGTGCTGAAATGGGCAGGACAGAAGTGGAAGGAGGTTCTTAAAGAGACAGAGACCAATTCCAAGGCATTTAGAAACAGATATGATGAGAAGTCAAGCTTATTTCCTATTTAAACATATAGTTAGTTAGTTTAGTTTATTGGTTTTCTTTAAAAAACAACAACATAAATTCAACATACAACAAAAATACAAATCATAAATTAAATTAAAGGTAGCAAAAGAAGAAAAAATCTTGATAAATCTGCCCCTTTTTTTCTCAAATAAATCAATTCAATCAAAAATAATCTTTAGTTTATGTAAAAGAAAAGAAAAATAAAGGTTTAACTCCTTGAACAACAATTCATACATTTACATATTTCTCCAGCAAATTATTTTTTATCATTCTCCTAAATATACTCATTGATCTGGCATTTTTAAAGTCATCTTCCAGATTATTAAACATTTTAACAACTGAAAGTGACATGGTTACTTTTATTATGGTATAGAATTTAAATGTATGCCTGAGAAACATATAATATTGCCCCTTTAAAAGATCTGCCATGATAATCTAGATTTCAAAAGTGTAGTCATGAACCCACTTAGAGAAATGTGAACGGCTGGAAGCAACTGTAAATATGATTGATTGTACCTTCTTAAACAAATCTGCAAGTCTCGTCTTTTGGCCTATTTAGTATTTTCTTTTACTTATTTCACAAACTTTCCAGTACAAGAGAAATAGGGAGATATTTCCTGTGAAAACGAAAGTCACTGAGTTCACAGCTGTTCTGCTCTTATTCAGACGGAGTTGTGTAAAACCTCAGTCTGCCAAGTTGAACATTTGTTTGAGCCAGATGCTTGCGAGGTTTGTGAATGCTCGCTTGTACAGTTTGAAAGATGGATTGAAGATGCATGACCTAGTTAAAGTGATATGATCTCATCTTTGGACAGAATAATGGACTACTTCCACTGTGGCTGATGASCACTTTGCTTAAGTGATGCTAAAGTTTTACCCAAAACATTGTCCAATATTACAAATGAACTCAGGGAAACAAGTCATCTAGATGTGAGATAAAAAAAAAAAGAGATTGAAGAGTGACTGAATGTCACTTGTTTCAGGCATTTTTTCTCTCATTTTTTGTCCTTGTTTCCCTCAAAAGTCAGAAACGTCTGTGTTTAATTTTCTCATTGTGCAGCAGTTCGTTACTCTTGTTTGGTTTTTGAAAGGAGATTTTCTGTTCAACCACATGCTTTGTTTATTCTACGATAAGGTATGATTATCCATGGTCAGGTTGCAGAGGCAACAGGTTTAGAGGAAAAAAAACCCAGACGGGGGATTACCTGTGTAGAAAACGAGGAGCTTTTTACACCACATCTGTGTTTTTGTTTCCTTTTCCACAGATGAAGAAGTGGCTTCCCCGACTGACTTGCAGTTCTTTGAAGTGTCCGACAAGAAAATAGTCTTGACCTGGTCCAGTCCAGCTGGCGGCATCTCAGGTTACAGGGTCACGGTGGTTCCTGTTGACGAGTCTGGTTCTCCGCAAAATGAGATGACTCTGCCTGTCGGTCAGAACTCATATGTCGATGTAACACACCTACAGCCTGGCACGCTGTACCGCTTTAGTGTGTACAGCATTCTTAATGGAAAAGAGAGCTTACCACTTATTGGGGAGCAAACTACAAGTGAGTATGATGAACGACCTCATGTAAAAACTGCTTTCAGATGGGGTTGTTTTTATGTTGTTGACAGAACTAATCATCAGGGATTTACTCAACAAGCTAAAATGCACAGTGTAAGACTCTGTCAGGGGCGGAGCCAGGGGGTGGCCAGGGGTGGCCATGGCCACCACAGACAAATCTTTGGCCACCCCATTGGCCACCCTGTTGTACAAACCCCTTCCACAGTGAAACAACCTTTAGGGGTGTAATAATCCTCCTGAACAGTTGGTGGCAGTGTTTAACAGTTTGAAATATCACCGAGCTCTATCACTGAAGAAGAGTAATGACAAGGAAGTGATGGTTTTCTTTATATACAGAACATGCCTATATAATCTGATGTACGGTGTCAACTTTTGGACTTATGGTGACAAAGGTTTCTGTTGTTTTCTTTCCTTTTTTTTGTCACCATAACACAGTGTCATTTTGTGCTCTGAAGACTGCATGATGATCTGTGTTTGGTTATGAGTAGACCTATCACTAAATTAGACAAAGTGAAACACCCCTCTAAATTCACTGTTGGTGGTCGTCAGTATTGCACATGTTCATTGGGTAAAATTATTAATATTAGTTTCAAACATGCAGTTKAGGGTCATCTTTGTTTGGCACAGCGACGTGTTACAATTAAAAATRAAYCAATAAACAATATAAAAGTAAAAATCACCCCTGTGGTCATTGGATATGATAAATTGTGTCACATTAATTAACCTTATCTCAGCCATAGCAGTGAGATTAAAAACAGGATGATGGAACTAGTTTAATGAATAATCTGTCTCGGAAATAATTATTAAATGAAGTGTTAATTTGTGTAGGTAAAAGTATGTTTAACAACCTGATAAAATACACCAGAATACAGGAAATGGCATCTATTTAATTCAAAATTTTCTGGGGGAGGACCCCCAGACCCCCCAATAGTGCCCCCCAACTAACTTTTAAAATGGTTCTGCACCCATGTTTGTAAGGTAGTCACTGCCTGTATAAAGACATAAGGAAATTAACAAAACACAAAGATCTGCAGAAAAACTTTCAAGTAAAAAATGATGTAATTTTCCTGGCCACCCCTGTGTGAATAGTGGTGCCCATCTGGCCACCCCTGAGAAAAATGTCTGGCTCCGCCACTGGACTCCATTCTGCCATATATTTGGTMCAGAAAAAAGAGAGACTGATAAGATGGCTGATCCTGCTTGATGAATAAGAATGTAAACAAAWTGTTGAGCTGCAACCTTCTCAGGGCACCGAATACCATTTAGCAGTGTTTAATGAGAAACAGGCACAACTTGTGCAAAACAAAATATATAGAGYGCTCTTTAAATGAATCATTTTTAATCACACTGCTCAAAATCGTTCTTTCTTTGTTTTTAGAGCCAGACGCCCCCACAGACATCCATTTTGACGACGTGACTGAAGACAGTGCGGTGGTGCAGTGGTTCGCGCCTCGCGCCAAAATCACCGGCTATCGTCTCTTCCTTAACGTGGAAGGCTCGAACCCCGTGCAGCAACACCTGCCCGCCCACCTCACAGAGTACACCCTGCTGACCCTGAAGCCTGACACAGAATACACGGTCACGCTGCACTCACTGCAGGACAACACGCTCAGCAAAGGAGAGACTGCTGTGTTCACCACATGTGAGTGTCTAAACATCATAAATTGTTTGCAACTTTGCACTCAATCAGAAATGAAGTGAAACAAAATTTATTTTATCATTTGTAATACTTCAAAACAGGGCTATTCAACTGGTGGCCCGCGGGCCACATCTGGCCCCTGGGCAGCTTCAATCCGGCCCGCCTGTTAGTTAATTAATATTATAGCTTATTTAATACTTAAATTACAAATATTTCAGTCAGAGTTACACTCATTAAACATGGTCTTTATGACTACACAACACAGTGGTCTGATTGAACACACAACATGAGTATAAAATCTGAAATTAGAAGTAGTTCAAAGTGGCAATCCTGTCATTCAGATGATAAGGTTATATAAATAAAGATGTGACTGTTTACATGCAGGGTAGGCATTTTTATGTTCCCCTGTATTTTACCAAATCAAATCTTCTAGCAATACAATTTGATTCTGCTTTTTTTTGTTTTGTTTTTAGCCCCTGCTGTGGGTATTGCTCCTCAGTTCAGCACAGAAGTGACTGACACCTCCATAATAATCTCCTGGACTCCAGTTCCCTACATTGGATACAAGGTGTGAGCTTAATTATATTTGTTTGAATTAGGTTCTGAATGTGTGTATCGTTGGGTGAGGGATTGAAGTGTAAAATCTTTGGAATCCATGGGGACTAGATAAGCACCATATAAATTCAAGCCATTTACCATTTAAATGCTCTCATTTTCTTCCGATATTTATGAAAAGCACATTCTAGTAAGTAGTTGTTTGGTGAGTTATCTTTAAAGCTGCTCAACAGGAGATCTCATAACCTCATAAATGCTTCTGATTGGTCAGAACAAGTCTCACCAGAGACGAGAATGTTCATTTGGCTTCAGTGTTCTTGGGAAAGCACCGACCTCTGACCTGTACCTCCCGTCCTCCTAACCTATTACTCTTTCTACCCCCCATCTCTCAGCTGACAGTCGGGCCCAGTCAGGGTGGGGAAGCCCCAAGAGATGTCTTCTCAGAATCTGGCAGTATTTACATTTCCGGTCTGACTCCGGGAGTAGAGTACACCTACAGCGTCCAGCCAGTTTTTAATGGCCAAGAACAAGGAACCCCAATCACTCGACACGTTGTCACACGTATGTCTAGATTAAAACCAGTCATTTGTGACTTGTATTTTTTTTATTTACCGGTATTTATTATTTTTTCTTGCTTCCCTCCAACCACATGTTTGTTTGCACAAAATATTTTTTTCCAACTCCAGCTCTGTCTCCTCCTACTGATCTAAACTTGGAGTCCAATCCAAGCACTGGTGAGCTTGTAGTTCAGTGGAATGGAGCTGCTACACCAGGTACTTTCAAAAACACATGTGCATGAAAATCAAGCCGTCAGTCCCATCATACCCTATAAATGCCTCTCGTACTGTTTCTTGAAGACATCACAGGTTACAAAGTGACGTGCACTCCCACCAAAGGGCAACAGGGAAACAGCTTGGAGGAGTTTGTAGACGCTGGGCAGAATTCCTGCACCCTGGAGAACCTCAGTCCAGGTGTGGAATACAACGTCAGCGTTGTCACAGTGAAGGACGACATGGAGAGCTCTCCTGTYTCAACTGTCATCACCCCAGGTGGGTTTTTCTAAAAAGATGTGACGCCTTGTTTTGTATTAGCCACATTTTTAAAGTAACATAAACTTCAACAGCTAACCCATGCTACATTCAATCTTATTAACTTTACTGTTTCTGTTTTACGTCACTACCAGCTGCTAAACTATTGTGTCGCAGATGATTTTTTTTATCTTTGTGCATTAAAATGAAACCATTTTATTGAATAACCTAAATGGTTATTCATACAAATGAGAGAGAACCAGCTTGTATTAGGTCTTCCATCACTTTGATATGCTGCATATGTCAAAATGCTGGAAGTAGACAGTTTATATAACTCAGCTTAAAGTGCCCGTGACACCAAATTTTTGTAATAAATATGAATGCATTTTTGGAAGGATAACATTGGAAACATATTGCAAATAACATTTCATGCTGCTGTGTTGAACAGTTGTTGAGCTATTTGTATGTGAAGAAACAGGAAGTGATGTCAAAGGGGACTGTCTGCATATAAACAGAGCGTTGCTTCAATGGCTAACAACCCAGACTGTAGAAACAAATCTGAAGTTTCTTTAGATTATTTTGAGTCTCTATCAGAGAGATGAAGAGTCAGAATTCAAACGTTATTGTTTCAGTAAACAAAAACCAGGATGTTCCTTTTCTTAAAAAAATCCCCTTTGATGTCACTTCCTGTTTCACTTTGTATGAGTCAAGTTCAAATAACAATCTCCCATTTATGTGAAAAACTTTTGTATTTGAAGGATATGTATGTCACAGGCACTTTGACGTCTCCTTCTTGGGCTGTYTCTCATTTTTTTTCTTTTGTCCAAACTCTTTGTTTTTTGTCTTCCCACGTGTGTTGTTTGTTTCTGCGCTGTTTCTCTCCCGATTCATCCCTCCCACTCATGCAGAGGTGCCCCAGCTGACCGACCTCAGCTTTGGGAACGTGACTGACACGAGCATCAGTCTCCACTGGTCACCGCTCAGCACCCCAGTGGTCACCGGTTACAAGATTATGGTGGCTGCTTCTGGTGAGAGCATCCCCATTTTTGAAGACATGGTCAATCCGGCCACTGGTGRTTACACGGTCTACGGGCTGGAACCGGGCATCGACTATGACATCAGTGTGACCACTGTCACAGAGAGCGGCGAGAGTGAACCCGTCATATTCACTCAACAAACCAGTAAGATATTTTTACCTAACAGGGAAAAATAAAATGATTATTGTTAAACAGTGCTTTGAGATGCTTTAATTTTTTTTTCTCTTTTCAACTTCATGAAATACCCCCTCAAACAAATTGCTGATGAAATTGTACTCCGTGCTTTGTTGACAGTTTAATAGACCTGTGTGTTTCCATGCAGACGTGGACCATCTGGTTTTAGTTAAAATGTTTTCATCCCTGCTTGGTATTTAAATTTAAATATGTTGTAAATTTCATGCACAGATATAAAACAMTACAGTCACTACTGTCTTTTAAATGATGAAAATTTCATTGTTTTTTAATTTTTAAATTAATTTCATTAAAAACAAAACAAATAATTTTATATACAATATACAATAAAAAGAAAAATATAAAAGAAAAATGAGAGAAAAAATATATATATCAAAATCACAAATAAAATTAAATGAACGGCAGCAGAGAGAAGAAAAAAATCTCAACATCTGCCCCTTAGGGTAGGTAATTTAAGAAGTTTCAAAATTTCTATTAAAACAATTTAAATTTCCTCATCTATGTTTTTAGGTGAAACCAAATGTTTTTTTCTGTTTGCGGTATTCTGATCCAATCTGTTTCTCAAATAGCCGTACCGGCCCCCACTGATTTGAACTTTGGCAAGGTTGGACCTGACAGCATGGAGGTTACGTGGGTTCCTCCTCACATACCAGACAACAATGAAATTACCAGTTTCGTCATTAGGTAAAATAAACACGATGTTAAACTTTATGGACGTTTCACGTGAAGTTAATCTGAAAGCCTGTCACTGCTTCATTATACTCACATGTTGCTGTTTGGACTGTTGTTCAGGTATCAGCCTATTGATGACGACGATGAGCTTACAGAAACCAGTGTAGACAGCAGGACYAACAATGTGGTGCTAAAGAGTAAGTTGCCGCGAGCATCAGTAGTTCAGCATCAAGCAGACACACTTTAGTGTTTTTGATTCTTGTTTTCAGATTTGCTGCCGAACACGGAGTATCTGGTGAGCGTGGTGTGTGTGTATGAGCAGAGGGAGAGCTCGCCTGTTGTCGGCATCAGGAAAACAGGTGAGTAGAGAGGATGTAGAATGTTTTTTTTAAAACATCAAATGAAAACATTGTGATTTTTTTATTATTTTTTGTTCTGTTTTCAGCTTTGGATTCACCAGTCGGCATTCGTTTCTCTGAAATCGTAACCAACTCCTTCACCGTGCACTGGCTCCCTCCGCAGAGCAGAATCTCTGGTTACCGCATCCGTTATCAGATGGTTAAGGGAGGGAGGACCAAGGATGAGAGGCTACCCCCGTCAAGGAACCACTTCACCATGACAGGCCTCGTTCCGGACACAGAGTATTTGGTCAACATTTACTCTGTGAGCGGGACACAGGAGAGTCTGCCGCTCAGCGGGACACAGAAAACAAGTATGGAAACAGAATCAGATATATGTGACATTTTATTGTTATCACCAAAAGGCTTTAAATGTGTTCATTTTTGTCTGGGACCCTTCAATTTTCATTTTTGTTTGTTTTAGTTTCTGATGCTCCTACTGACCTGGAAGTGCTCGAGTCATCCCCCACAAGTATCACTGTTCGCTGGGCCCCTCCTCCCGTCACTGTGCGCTACTATAGGATCACCCATGGAGAATCAGGTAACAATACATAGTAAATCTAATCTAATTAATGTGTAATTTTTTTTAGATTTTTTTTTTGTTGTACAAATTTTGTACATCTATCAAAAACATGTTTTATCATTCTTAGAAGAATAAAATAGTAATGTACTTTGCAACTCAATAACGTCTCACGGCTGTGTCTCAATCCATGGGTTGCAGCCGGCGTAGACCGCGTCCGACGTGGGCCGTAGGCCGCTGGTGTCGGCTGCATAAATGTCTATGAAAAGAGACAGTCTAGTCTAAAGACAGAGTTGTAAAGTAACTAAGTACAAATACTTCTTTACTGTACTTAAGTAGAATTTTTGGGTATCTGTACTTTACTTGAGTAATTATTTTTCAGCCTACATTTTACTTCCACTTCTTACATTTTCACACAATTATCTGTACTTTATACTCCTTATATTTGTTTAAAAAAGACAAAAAGAAGAAAGTTGTTACTTTTATTTCATTTTGCTTGTTTCTATTCCAGATTGTTATTGTAAAAAATAATAATACAATCCATATAAATTTAGCCTCCTAGAAAGAGTGAATTTAACTGTGGTTGAATGAGAAGTACAAAAGTGTAAAACTCTGACACTGTATCCGTTTGTACACAAACAAATCATGTCACACTCCAGAAGGACATAATCATTAAAATAAAAGGACTGTACTTAAGAAGTATTTGTACTTCATAAATTATATTATTGCATTTGGCCGCAGCCCTCAGATAGATTTTCATTTTAGAAAAGGTTACATCACCCTTGATATATGTATATAAACTGAACCAGCTAGACTAGTGCATCTTAAATTTAACATAAATTATTTTTTTTAATACAGTATAGTCATTTCTGCATTTTTTGGGGAGGTCACCTCCTAATAAATGTCATTACATAAAATCTAACTGCTCATTTTGATTCAATATTTTACTTTTGATACTTAAGTACAAAAAGTATCAGATACTTTAAGACTTTTACTCAAGTAATATTCCTAAAGGAGACTTTAACTTTTACCAAATTATTTTTGGTAAGATACTTGTACTTTTACTCAAGTACAACTTTGTGGTACTTTATACAACACTGTCTACAGAAGACATATGTTTGCCTGACCGTGCTGTCTCTATGGTGATATGTTATATATCACATCGTTTCAGTTGTTTTTTTCAAGGTATAACCTCATAAAATTCAGTTTCAATAGAAAAATGTTACAAATAAATAGCATACTTAAAGCTGCGTTTTATTTAACATCTCATTGCAACAAAACTTTCTTCAGCCAAGTTGCTAAAGTTTCGTTTTTCAGTCCGTGATAAATTTCCAAACTTTGCCGTAAAACGAACAAACAATAAAAACTCAGCCGTCTTTGTTTTTCTGTATAATTTGCTGATGGCACAATGAACTCTGGGATACCGTCGGCCACATATGATACTCAGATGCAGCCATCGTTTTCAGGGTTTTGTTGGCTGCATGAGTAGGCGCTCACAAATTGGGACAGCCTATACGGCGAGTGGCAGTGACGTCGGCTGCAACCCGTAAATTGAGACAAAACAAGTATAAATAAAAAAAATGTATTGTATGGTTTTATTTTTCCTTAGGAAGTCACAGTAACCCTAAGGAGTTCACTGTACCCGGCTCTCAGTCCACTGCTACAATCAGTAATTTGCAGCCTGGCACTGACTACACAGTTACTGTTTATGCTGTGACCGGCAGAGGAGACAGCCCCGCAACCAGCATCCCCATCTACGTCATGCACAGAACAGGTACACACACTGACGTTACACACTTATTTAAATGGATAGCAACATTAAAATGTTTTTTGTAATTCACTCTTTATCTCTGGTTTCTTTAATCCCAGGTGTGGACTCGCCCTCTGAAATGGAAGTGACTCATGTGAATGACAACAGCGCCACGGTGAGATGGAGCCCGGCTCATGGTCCCATCAAAGGTTACAGGGTGACGGGGGTCCCCATCAATGAACAGGGACAATCCTTCTCTCAAGTGGTGGAATCAGGTATGGTGTTCAGGTTAATTTAATGTGTGAAAAAAGGATTTATTGTAAACATTAGATTAATTGTATAATTATTGTTTTCATTCTTTTATCCAGACCAGACAGAGTTTACTTTTTCAGGCCTGCTGCCTACTACAGAATACGTTTTTAGCGTGTCCGCTCTTGGACAAGAAGGAGAGAGCTCGCCTCTGTTGGTAAATGCCGTGACAAGTAAGAGTTTCGCATTTCATCTGAAACGTTTTGGAAATGTTTAATTTATTAAACTGAAACATAACACATCAAACCTTTCGCCTTCTAGATGTGGATCATCCGAAGGATCTTTCCTTCGCTGACGTTGAGTCCACTTCCTTGCGGATCACGTGGGATAGTCCTGAGGGAACGGTAACATCTTACCGAGTCTTGTATGCGAGTTCAGAGGAGGGTGAGAGAGAGCTGCCTGTTGTTCTGAGAGGAGATGCTGACTCAGCTGTTATTGATGGACTCCAGCCTGGAACTGAATACTCAGTTAAAGTCATCGCCATGCATGATGGCACAGCCAGCACACCACTGATTGGAACACAGGTTACAGGTAGTTAAAGTTTCACAACTTTATACCTAAAAGTGAACTCCAGTGGTGGGCAGCGCTAATCCAAAAATTAGCTCTGCAATTTCTAAAGCGCTTWTGAAAATATTTAGGTCCACAACTTCAAAAACACTTATGCCATAGAAAAATTAGTGGAAACTAATTTTAATGCACAAGTTCAATTTGACACTTACTAGCTGGCAACAATTCATGGGCAATATATGCACAACACTGCCAACTAGCAGTGTATGAACCCTTGAACAGCTTAATCCTACAATTGCCGATTGCTGGGGATGTGATTTCTTGAAACAGACCTTTGGCTCCTGGTGTAAAAATTAAAAAGTTGTTGAGGATTGCTAGTTCGGCTGAATCTTTGTCTTTTTCTTTTGTTTGTTGTAGATTTTTCATTAAAGAAGCATCAATAAAGTAATTTCAAAACTGTTTATTGGAAAACTGAAGCGATGCATTGTGGGTACATGACAGATTTGATTTTTGACGGGAAACGAAAGCACGGAGTACAGGAAACTATCTGCAAACTTCAAAATAAGAGCTTGGATTTTAAAGTTTTCCATGTAGTTGCTCCAGTTGACCACTAGATGTCTGGCTAACCCCATTGGCCGATTGCTTCTACCAATTACATCAAGTATTGAGCTCCAGCGTTTAAACTTTAATTTTCTTTTAAAAAAGGAGCTCTGATTGTAAAATAAAATAAATCAATACAAGCAAAATTTTAGTATGGATTACAAATGTTCACTGTTTTTTTGCTGGGAAAGGGAGCTCTAAACATCGCCTTCCTGGTATGTAAGCAGACACAAAGCATTGTGGGAAATGAGAACCATGGCCGAAAGAAACWGTCAGCAAGGATGTATACCTTTCCAATAAGTGTGTTTTTTTGGGACGGGTGCTGTTGGATAGATCACGTGTGTTGTGACTCATTGACAGCCATACCTTCCTCTGTTCAAAATAATGATGACTGTAGATAATTAGTAATTAGCGGTACTGCATTTTAATTTTAGAAATCACAAATCCGCTTGTGAATTATAAAAATGAGTAAGACCGCTAAAGTGCAAATGTAATATTTAGGTCCGCAATTAGCGGGCTTGCGCTTTAGCGGACTGGTGCCCACCACTGGTGAACTCAAGAAGTATCTTGTTCCTTGTTTCTTACTAACTCTGTTATTTTTTTGCTTTTTTATTTTCTTCAGCCATTTCTCCTCCCTCTAACCTCCGTTTCACCCAAGTCGGCCCCACATCCTTCGTCATGCACTGGGCGGCACCAGGTCAGGAGAATCAAGTAACTGGCCCCACAAGCCTCACCGGGTACCGTGTAGTGGTGAACCCAAAGAACAAGAGTGGACCAACCAAAGAGATCAACCTGGCCCCAGACACCACCCAGGCGCACATCTCTGGACTCATGGTGAATAAATGAAATCCACTTGACTTTGAAACATATAGATATATTTTTCTGCTCACTTTCTTATATCTTTATCAGATTGCAACAATTTACGAAGTCAAGGTTTACGCACTGAAGAACTCTTTGACCAGCAGACCAGTCCAAGGAGAGGTCACAACTCTAGAGAGTAAGTCTTTAGTTTTTTAAACCTTAAATAGATTTACTGTTTATTTTATTCTAATTATTTCTAATCCGCATGAAGATATCAGCCCTCCTCGACGCGTACGCATCTCCGACCTCAACGATTCCACCATCACTTTAAATTGGCGATCAAAAACGAGCCCCATCTCCGGGTTCCTGATTGAAGCCACGCCAACCTCCTCTTCTCCAAGCTACGTACCCATTCAAAAAACAGTCCACCCTGACGCCCGCTCATACTCTATTACGGGTAAAGATCTATCAGACATGCAACAAATGAAACTCAAATCTACAGATGAAAGATTGTAAATAATAAAATAAACTTTTTCTGACTCTCCATCTAAGGTCTGGAGCCTGGCACCACTTACAAGATCAATCTGTATACGCTGAAAGACAATGGACGCAGCATACCGTTCACACTCACTGCCACCACAGGTAAACCCCACACGTTTTACTGCAGTACTGTCTACTCATACTTTACTCACATACATCCTGATGCATCTCAGTAATCCAGGTAGAAAAAAATCAAAAAAGAAAAAATAAGTAGGTCCTCTGGAAGAGTTCTTCTTTAGTGAAACGTTTCATCTCTCGTCCAAGAAACTTCTTCAGTCTGATGAGTTTCAGGTGAACTCAGCCTTATAAGCCTTGCCTCCACATGGACAAACAGGTTAGTCATGCGCAAAAGAGGGCCATCGCATAACAATAGGCTTGATTAGCTCTATTTAGTCACATGCAAAAGAGGGCTATCGCCTAACAATAGGCTTGATTAGCTCTATTTAGTCACATGCAAAAGAGGGCTATCGCTTAACAATAGCCTTAATTAGCTCTATTGTTTATAGATGATCTAATCAAGCCTATTGTTAAGCGATGGCCCTCCTTTGCATGTGACTAACCTGCTTGTCCATGTGGAGGCAGTGCTTATAAGGCTGAGTTCACCTGAAACTCGTCAGACTGAAGAAGTCTCTTGGATGAGAGATGAAACGTTTCATTAAAGAAGAACCCATCCAGAGGACCTACTTATTTTTTGCAAAAAAAAAAAAAAAAAAAAAAACAGCATTTTTTTGTTTGCTAGTATAAACTGAAAGCTGAGTAGAAAAATGTCCTGGCCTGACTAATTCATGACAAATTACAAATTAGTTGGTTGTTTTGTGCTTATGTGGATTTAGCATCTTTTACACACACAAAATACGTGTTCAGAAGCAGTGTGACTCTGTGCATTAATAATAGTTTATGAAATTCAGTTCTTGTTTTTCTAAACGTCATGGATTTAATTTATTTTTCCGAAGTAACGATTTGCTTGTTTTTCTCCCAGCTCAACCAGTGGTCATCCCACCCACCAATATCCGCTTCACCTCCCTGAATCCTAACAGCATCTCATTTATGTGGGAGCCGTCACACAGTCCAAGGGTCACTGGTTATTATGTCACCTATGAGGAGGCTGGAGGTTTGCCCCGAGAAGCTTTCCCTAGACCTCACGGAGGCCAGAGCTACGCCACCATCAATGGTCAGTGATAGTGAGCCAAATAGTGCGTCATTCATTTTAATAAATGAGACAAATGTTTTGAAGTTTTCTTTGTTTGTTTGATTTGGCTTAATTTTAGGTCTGAAACCTGGAACAGAGTATGTCATTAAGATTGTAGCCATGCAGAATGCTTTGAGAAGCACACCTCTTGTGGGCAAGGCTAGAACTCGTAAGTGTTTTTTTTATGTTATAAAATGTTTAATTCATTATCAAAACATAAAAATAAATGCATTCAAAATGTCTGGAAATAAACCCTTCTAACGGTGCCATTGATTGCACCAGGGGATGACATTTTTTTTCTACACTTAATTATTTATTTGCATCTTTCTAATGTTTGATCATCATGTTTACTGTAATATATGAACTATATTAATTATATATAGCCCATGAACAAAACAGAAAATGTAAAACAGTGATGGGAGATATTGGATTACTCTGTGCTGCCCTCTTGTGGATTTATTCTTACAGCGCTGATACAAACAGCCCAACGACAGACAGCATGCAGCCCTTTTCTTCTACACTTTTGTTATTTATCAAACATAATTCTTACTGACATGGTAGATCATAAATTACTTTTGTTTTTAACTAACCAAGGTTAGAATTGAAGAGAATTGTTTTACTATAACTTGAAAAATACCATTTTTTTTCTTTTAGGAAAATAAATTGATACTCTGTTTATAAACTAGACCTTCTTGTCTTCTACCTTTCTCTGATTCTAATCAGATAAGTTCAGTATTAAACAGCATGCACATCTCTCTCCTTATATCACCAGAACCAGATTACTCCTCTGTTCATCAGCTGTTGGTACCTGATCTGCCACAGCTTCCTGTTCCTCATCAACCCAGCACTGAAATCCTGGACGTTCCAGAGACCTTCGATGCGAAGATGTGAGTGTCTGCGTGACGATATGCAAATTATTCAGTCAATTCATCATCGCCTTTTAGCTGAAAACTGTAACGTTTGAGCTTATCTAAATCTTAGCTGTTTAATTATACAGTTTTGACTCCAACCATGTCCACCTGGCTGGTACAAGTGGCCAGAACGAACCGGGCCAGCATGGTCAGTACGTCTACACTGAGTATCAGAACTTGGGCCCCAATAATGGGCTGCATGGCTCCCACAGTGGACCCAAAGAAGGCCAGAGACCCACTCTCAAAGAGCCCCTGGTTTTTATACCAATAGCAGGCCCTGATGGAAACAGAGTACCCCTGGTCAAGGTGTGTGAAACTTAAATTCATTTCTTTAAGCCTAATGCATATTAAATAAATTGTTCCTAAGCACTGTTAAGACAATAAACAATCAAATGCTTGCTTTGTAAACCCTGCAGGTGAGCGACAGCCCTCTGCCAGGCCTTGCTTTCGGTTTCCCTGACAATGAAACAGATTTGCCCCAAGAAGCGAAGACGGTCACGACTATTTCCTGGCAACCCATCCCTGAAACAACTGAATACGAAGTGTCCTGCAACCCGCTCACGTTGGAGGAAAGAGGCTTCCAGGTATTCACACAAACCCCATCTCATGTTCTTGTGTCGAGCACTTAAAGCAGTGGTCCACAAACTACGGCCCGCCTCCCCATTTGGTCTGGCCCCCAGAACAATACCAGAGAGCATTTAGTTTTTTTTTTCATATATGTATATTTATATTTGATTATAAAGTTGGACTTTTGCAATAAAATGTTTCTTGGTTATGAACTATTTTCATCATTAACTATTATTAGTTAGTAACTATTTCATACATACATGACATTCTGTTCCACCCATCTGCTGTCTGTGCCCCTATCTGGCAACCCCGCAGAAAAAAATCCTAAACCCGCCCCTCTCAAAGAGAGAACAGAATAATTGCGAAAAGATTAGGTAAGAGAAAAATTGATTCAGAATGCAGGGCGTTTAAGCTGCAGTGGACAAATGATTATTTGTTGTACATCTGTCAAGAGGTGGTGGTGGTATTCAAAGAATACAATCTGTGGCGACACTATGAATCCTGTCACAAAGACAAGTATGATAGCTTGCAAGGCCAAATGCGAGCAAACAAACTCTCAAAGCTAAGAAGTGGACTGTTAGCTCAGCAGAATACATACTGTGAAGAACCCAGAGAAGGTTRTTTGATTGTGCTTTCTGGAAAACAATAATTTTTTACATTTAGGCACTCCTGCAATAGTCACACTTTTTCTGTTACAAACAGACTCTGGCCCCCCACCAGAGAAGGGAGAAGTTATGTGGCCCTTACAGGAAAAAGTTTGGGGACCCCTGACTTAAAGGCATCCTGACTTATTCATCTTCTTATTCTCTGTGCAGATGCGTCTTCCTGGAACCTCGAACAGCGCCACACTGATTGGACTCACGTCGGGAGCTTCCTATAATGTTGTTGTGGAGGCAATGAAGGACGGAGCTAAAGAAACTGTTCTAGAGGATGTTATCACAGTTGGCAATGCAGGTATGGGTCTCATTGTCAGAGGAGAAACTCAAAAGTGGTAAAGTTTTAGTCGAATTTAGTGTTTCATGATATATTTTGCTAGCAGACGAACACAAGTATGGACGACCAAAACTGACAGAATGAGAAGTAAAAGCAGAAAAATATAAATGGACCAATAGATAAATAAATACACTTAAAAAT